ACAATTAGCGTTTGTACATATTTCGGATTTTTCAAATTTTTCAATATTATTTATGTCTGTGAACTTTTTTTCTACTTTGTTGGTTCAACAAAAATACATTTTTATCGCTCTATTAAATATGCTATAAATATTTAATAGAAAAATGACAAAAGTACCTGATTTAAATCGCAGCGATCAGAATTGTTATTTATTTAATATTATTATTATTATTCACATATTACATTTTTAGATACGGACTTCTTGGGCCRAGTGGATGTGGAAAAACGACTTTGTTGAATTGTATACTTGGTCTAACTACTTTGGATGCTGGTAAAATATTTTTAAAAGCACAACGTCACTCGGAAATAAGTTACATGCCACAAGTATACTATATTTTAGGACTGTTTTTATATTAAAAATTTGCATAGTTTAATTATTATATTATATTTGTTAATTTTACAGGACATAACGTTGCATAATAATTTAACTGCACATCAAACTTTCATATTTTATGGAAAGTTATACGGAATAAATGATGAACATATAAAAAAGAGGATTAACGAGTTAGTCCGTCTTCTGAGATTACCATCACTAAGCACGCAAATTAAAAACTTAAGGTTAATATTGCTACAATCCTAAATTCCTTCATTAATATTTGAACAAAATAAATGTTTCACAGTAATAATTAGGTATTGTAGATTTGTAGTAGGATTTTTTTGAATCCATAAAGATAGACGATAGCAGGAAATAGGTTTATGAATGATGAGGTTATTATCTATAATTTATAATCTACATTATAATTATTTTAATTCACATTAGATACCTCTTGATTGAGTACTTTTTAAATAAAATATATTGATGTTCTACACAATTTTTTTTTCAAATTACACAAAAATTTTAGTTTGAATGTTTGTTTTTATATCCATTTATTTAACGGATTCATAATTTAATATTAAAAATTTTTAATTTGAAAAAAATAAATATATTTGAAGAATATTTATCATTGTTGTTGCCTGTTGGATTCATTTAAGATTCTGAACGGAGCCATGAATAATATATTGATTTTACAATGATGTGTGTGTTTTTCTTCTTTTTTTTCTGTAGGAATTTCACATGTGTATACTATATACAGTAAAAAAAATGTTTTGATTTTCAGCTACAATATATTTTCTGGTAGGAAAGTAAATCTAGTTGGTAACAATGATAACTTTGTTCATTATCATTCAAAAAATTGGGAAAAACCTGATTTTATACGCAAAATTAGGTTTTGATAAATAGATTGAATGTATATAATTGTTCGTATGCATTGTTTGATCATTGAATTAAAATTGTATACATACATTAACAGTGACTTATTCAAGTAGGTACACTCGACACTTACAGTACTGCAGTACTGTAGAGTGCAGATATTATAATTTAAGAAAATTCTTCAATATTTGTATGTATATTTATCGAAACGTGATTTATTTTTCATACTCTACAACAATTGATAAAAAATATATTTTAAGAGATAATGTAATAGTTCAAATTTACAGTAGGTATGCTTTAAAGGATACATCTATGAGCTATACATATACAATATGCTGTAAGCCGAAAATGCAACAATGAAACAAGAAATGAAAATACGTTTTGCTTTATTGGGACTCGTAGGAAACCACGTAAATACCATTGATAATGTACAAATAATGTTTATAATTTTAGTGGAGGAGAAAAACGTCGAATATCGTTTGGGGTAGCATTATTCCATGATCCCAAAATTATGATACTTGATGAGCCCACCGTCGGTATGGATCCAGTTATAAGGCAAAGGTAATCATTTATTTTTTTTATGTATAATTGCTCATCATTATAACGGTAGTTTTTTAATAACTATGTTATCAGCATTTGGAATCATTTGGTTGAGCTCTCTCTGGAAGGAAAAACAATCATCATAACTACGCATTATGTTGAGGAGGCCATTAGAGCAAACGTGGTATTATATATTATATTAGCTAATTTAGTATTGAATATATTATTGAAGTAGAATAACTTTTTAAATTTTTAATCTATTATTCTTGTTTTATTATGCCCCTTAATAATTGCCATCATATTGACACCATTAATATATTTTTTTAAATATTGAATGATTTATTGCTACTGCTATAACGTATTATCGCTCAGGGTGGTAGTATTGTGACAAATGGCTACATATGAATTACATATGTATTTTTTGGGGATATAATACTCTAGTTACGTCCTGATTTTTTTTTTTTTTGAGTAAATCGGTATTTTCTTACTGCGTCTCATATATTGTAAAAACTAAACAATATTTCTCTTCTTGTTTTTATACAGACTTAAGGCTTGTCTGCAATTATAATTACTATTTCAGATAGGTTAAAAATATTGTTTTTTCTTTTTATAGTACTATTGTATTGTTGAATTTGTATTCGTAATTGTAACTGTATAAAAAATATTACCGTTATTGCCTGTTGGTAAAAAATATATTGTTTTTCTAAATATTTTGTAATATTAACTATACTAAAAAAATATTTTGTTACCGGTAAAAATTTGAAAGATAACTTTTTTTTTTWAAATTTTAAATGAGCCTCAACAACAAAGGTTATTGGCCTTTAACATTAATATTTTTTTTTCACAAGGATGAGTCATTAACAATAATATATACAAAACAATAAGGTAATAGTATGAACGAAAAAGGATTGAGATATATCTAGGTTAAATAATTTGGTATAGTTAAGTTTGTTTTAGATAACTGATGAATTTTTCCATGTTGCTTGGCTGGGGACTTAAAGCTTCTTCCAGATTGTCTTCTATGTTGAGCTTGGTTCTGATGTCGGTGAATTTACGGCAGTGGCATATTAGATGTTCAACCGTGGAAGTTTCACCGCAAGTTTGACATTGGTCAGGATCTGATCTGTTCATAAGGTGTTTATGGGTCACCCATGTGT